TATCTAACCTCCAGTGGGCAAGCTGGCACTCAACTGCTCAGAGACTCAGTTTCCCCCTTGATAAAAACGGAGATTGAAATCTGAGTTTAGGATGTTCTGAATTTGGCCTCAACCGATGGTCATGCTTAGGATTGGAAGGACGAGAGGTGTGTGCGTGCGTGCGTGCGCAGTTACACACAACAAACCTATAGATTCATAGATTCAAGAGGAGGAAGGATGAGAGGGAGACTGGCCACAGAGAAGGTTGGCGAGACACTGGTCCAACCTTGAGACCCAAAGCCCCATCCATGGTCTCTTTCCCACTGCTGTTGGGTGACTTGTCTGCAGTGGAGTCACCCCCAGGAGCCCAGGCCTGGGGGTGGGGGTGGGGTGGGAAAAGAAGGACCAGCCCCACCTCTTAGCCTGGCCTTGCCCGGAGGCACAGAACAGGTAACAGATGGCAGGAGTTCCACACAGTTTTCATGAACCAGCTGTATTGGAAAAAACCCCATCTGTATACAGACACAATGTGGCCCTGCCCTGGCACAGCTGGCTCAATGGGGTGCCAGGTGGGCAGGCAGTCCGGCAGCTGGTTTGGGGCTTAGAGAGGGGCAGAGGAGAGGTTTCCATCCTGGTTGTCTCTTCTGCCCCCCCCCGCCCCCGTGCACCCTGGAAATTCAATTTAGATGGGCACCTCTGCCTGTGAGCAACCGCTGCTTCTCCCACTCCCCTTGGCCAAGGGTTTCCCTGGTCCCCTTCCCCCACCCCTGCCCTGCGGAGACTCGCTCCATAGAGCAGAGGATCTGTCCATCTGTCTGTCCTGCAGATTATTTGCCCAGAGAGCCTGCCTGTCCCAATTTCCCTTCCCCAAAGTGGGTTCTCTGAAATCTCCCTCCCCCCCCCCATCTCTTTATTCTGGATTAAATGAGAGGCCACATCTGGAATCTGGGGGCCATGGGTGAGGCTAGGGGGACCCTGGCAGCCCTGGGCAGAGCATAAGGCCTCAGTTTGGGGGGGGTAACCCACCTGGGGTCTGGGGGTGTCAGAGCTAGACCATGGGCTGAGATGTCCTGGAAGCTGTCATGAGGTGCTTAGGAAAACTCTGGCAGGCCAGTGTCGGGAGAAGGTGGGGGAGTCGGGAGGGCAGGGGTAGGGGGAGACCCTCAGATTTTGATCTCTGTCCGGAAGGTCTGCTGGACGTGCTCTGTATGTGGGTGGCGTCGTGCTCGGATGGTGAGGCTGCCGTCCTCCCTCAGGGCCGAGGTCACCGATGTGGGGTCCACATCCTCCGGCAGCTGGCACTTGTGAGCGAAGGTGTTCATGACCGTGCCGTCAGCAGCCAGCTAGGGAAGGGCCATAGGTCAGGGCAGGCTGCCTCCCACTCCTGTCCTGCTCGTGTCAAGCCACAGTCCCTTCTCTCCAGGGTAAGCCCAGCC